TTTTTTTTGTGGAATGGGGATTGAATTCAGGTCCTTGCATTTGCCAGGCAAGCACTTATTCTACTGAACCATCTCCCCAGGCCCTCATCAAATTGTTGAAAAATGGTCACTCACGGTTTATATCTTCTACACAGCAAAGACGAGAGCTCTGATACAAGTTCCTGCAGCTCATACAAAGGCAAACATTTTGTTAATATCAGAAGACCTGCTAGTTTCTCTTGGTTACTGAAAAGAATGTTTGGGGCTAAAATTGTTTAGACAAGACATCATGCCTATATGTTGTACTCTGCTTAGCTACCATGAAGACAACAATACGCAATGGATCAAGTATTTTAACTGTCTCACTAATCTGTTTCCAAACTTGGTTTTATTGTTTGTGTCTTTTTTCTCTTTAGAATAGAATTTTAAAAAAGAAAAGACTTGTCTTCAAGTCCTAGTTCCCTCTCTTCTGACTTATACCATTCTCGATAATTCATTTAATCTGTGTGGAGCTCAATTACTAAATGTGTTTGTTTGAAGACCACATAGAATAGCATGCATTCAAGTGCTGTGCTTACTGTAAGGCAGAACACAGTGTGCCAGGCTGTTGTTTAATTCTATGAACAAACACACGGAAAACAATTGCAAAGATTTTATTTAGCGGGTTTCTGTGCTTGGCACTTAGAAACAGTTCCGTGCATAAGGGCAAATTTTTATACACCTTTACTTCATACATATTTTACACACCCTTTTATTGCCCCCTTTTCAATATTCAAAATATTGGATTCCCCACTAGGCATATAAATACATTTATCTACAACACCTCAAAACCAAAAATCTTAGTATCTGTATTATTTTACTTGGTATTATTTGCATTTCCACACCATTTAAAAAATTTAACTTGCACCAAGCTTCCTTTGTTTTTTTTTTTTCTTACCATTAAAGGACTTAAAGGGAAAAAGAAAGATGAAAAACCCAAAACTTCAAAATGCACTGAACTAATTGATATAAATGGAGATCTACAGAAGGGCCAGGGATATAACTCAGCGACACAGTGACTTCCATGGCAAGTGCAAGGTCGTGAGTTCGATTCCCACTACCCCTTCTCTCAAAAAAACTGTATAAAAGACCTGTCTGCAATTCCCTGGACCATGACAGTGTCTCTCCAGCCAGAGGAGGGTAGGAGGCAGGCCCTCCCATTCTGGGGTCTGGATCTGGCATGTGGAGGCCAGGCCCCCCTTGGCTGTCTCTCTCTGAGCTTGGTTTCACCACAGGGGTGTAGCATTCTTCTACCTTCATACTTCCCTGTCCTTTCCCCTGCCATTCTTCTTGTTGTGAGGCTGGCACTTCCCACATGGTGCCCCTCTTTCCTGGTCACCATGGATGGAGCCCTGGGATCAAAATGCACTCCTGGCCTCTAGCCTTTGCACAAGTGCCCTGACCTTGCACAGTGTCCCAGAGAGGTTCCTCCCTCAGTGACGCCACAATTCTTTCTCTACAACCTGTAGGTTTGGGCAAACAAACTCAGCCACATCTCCTTGGTAAATTAAACTCTCCTCATTGCTCACACCTTCCTTCTCAGTCTTCCTCTCCACCCTTCTGCTCTCTGTTCTCTTTCTCTCCTTCAGCTTCTTTCACTCCCTCGTTTCACAGGCACCACCGGGAATATCAAGGACAGCACACTGAGTGAAGGGAGTCCAAGTGAAAAGCCATCATGTTCAGGAAGCCAAGTCCAGTTGCAGTACTGATGTCTTCCCAAGCTCCTTGGTAGAGAAAGGCTACAGGATGCATGATGTACTCCAGAAACAGCACAAGCTGCGGCAGTAAAAAGCTGGTGGCTCCTGCTAGCCCAGTTCATCTAGTGTTGTACAGAGATTCTCAGCGACAGCACCATCCTGGGCCTCCCTCCACCGAGTTCACCCAGCTCAGAGTCAGTGTGCAGGATGCTTGCATATCATGAGTTTGTGCATAATTATGTGTATGTGCGTGTGAGTACGCAGTAAGTGTGTACAGGCAGGTCTGCACATGTGTGTTTGGAAACTTTCATGGCAGCTTCACGCTAGTGTCTCCCTTAATGTTATTACAAAATGATTATTCATTCTCTTCAAAGGCCAGTCTTGCATAGACAATGGTTTATAAAACTAAGGTTTGAGAAGGCAGGTCACTGAGTTGTGCTGGATTCACTGCACATATCCTTCAGTGGCTGAAAAGTGTCTCTTGTCTATCTGTTTTTCTTCTCAAAAAAAAAAAAAAAAAAAAAAAACAATCGTGTTTTCCAAAGGCACTGGGATCCCAGAAAGGAGGATCCGCCTATGGAGATTCGAGTCTCGGTTGCCATAGGCTGTGGGGTGCTGGAGCTGCCCTTCAGACCATGTGCACGGACATCTGGGAGGAGGAGCCGGGGACAGCCCCGTACTGCCGGCCGTCACACGTGTTGGCTGCCTGCTGATTGTTAGGCGAAGGGCTAATCATGTGCATGCTGTGCTCCATCCCTGTGGGCAGGTACTGCCTCTCTCCGAAGGCCCCATTGGAAGGAGAAGAGCAGAGTAAAGTGCTTTGAGAGGCGCTCAGTTTCTCTGGGCTCGCAGCTAGCCTGGGGGAGGTGGGGAAGTTGTATCCGTACAGGTTGTAGGGGTTGTGGAGGGAGAAGGCATTGTAGGAGCTCTGCTGCATGTGGCTGCCCCCAAACATGTGTGGTGATGAAGAGCTGGAGGCAGCATTGCCTGCCTGCATGACGTACTGAAACTGCGAAGTGGGGAAGGACCCCAGCTGGCCGCCATAGGCTTCCATCTTGCTGTTGCTGGGCAACGAGGGAGGAGTTGGTATTCCTGAGATCAGGGATGGAGTCCTCTGAGGCATGAAGGTTTCTGAGGGCTGGGTGGCTGAAGCGGTGCCACTCTGGAGCCTGTTGTAGCCACTGTCACTCAGCCCTGGATAGCTCTGCAAGGCAGCCATGTTGCTTCGGGCACAAGGTGGATAATCAGAGAGGTTTAGATTACACAGCTGGCTTTCTCGACAGCCCACATTGAAAGTGTTGGGGGCCAAGTGGAAAGTTGGAGGAGAACAGGATGGAGACAGAAGATGGGAAGAGGCTGAAGGAGATGGGGTCCCGGTGCTGGAGGTGGTTGGCGAAGTACCTGTGCTGCCCCCTGAAAAACGAAACGTGAATACTGTTAAACACCGTAAAATGAGTTGGCCTCAGCCAAGTACAAGCCGCACAGAAGATGCTATCAAACGTCCAACAGGGGCTGATTTTTATAGAACCCTTGTTTTCTTTTCAACTCAAAACACTATGCTGAATGACTTGATCTGTGGATGTACATATACAAGCATTACCAACGAAGATAAAGGTGACAGGAGAAAACACTAAGCACTGTTTTTCTTCTGTAAAAAACCTTAGTAACTCCTATTTTTTTAAAAAAAAATTATTTCGATATTTTATATATTTATTTATTTGGTACAAGGTCTCACTACACAGCTTGGACTCCTAATGATCCTCCTGTCTCAGCCTCCACAGAGCTGGGACTATAGGCGTGTGCCACCATGCCCAGTTTCTGTGGCCAGCAAGGCACAGGGCCAGCACAGACTGTGGTACCACAGACTGACCTACGCTCCTTGCACTTGCCAGGTGGACACTCATACCACTGAGCTATCTCCCCAGCTCCAAAACTTGCTCTTGTGTAGGAAGAGCAAATTTAGTAAAATTAGCCATACTCCCAAAATTGTCCTACAGATTCAATGTGATCTTGATCAAAATACCATTAGCGTACTTTATAAAACTACTGAAAACATTGCTAAAATTCACTTGGAATCAGAAGAGAATAGCAAAACAATTCTAGGCAAGACGAGCATGGAAGGGGGCCTAACAATCCTTGACTTGAAACTATACTACAAAGCTATTTCCTACTAATCTGTTTCATTGTTTGTTTATCCCTTTTTTCTTTGAACTAAAAAATAAAGAGATGCAGAAACAACTCCAAACATACTCAGCTATCTTATCTTTGTCAAAGTGGCCAAACATATACACTCACTGGAAGAAAGACAGCCTCTGTAATAAGTGATGCTGGAAAAACTGGCTTTCCACATGCAGAATACTAAAACTAGACCCATGTCTCTCACCATGCACTAAACTGAAATCAAAATGGATCAAAGATCTAAACATTACAATCAGAAACAAGATCAATTTTTTTTTAATTTTAGGGAAGGGTCTACTGGGTGTTCAGCACAGGGTCTCACTACTAGATTGGACTTGTAGTGATCCACCTGTTTATAGCCCCTCAAGAGCTGGGATTACAGGTGCAGGCCACCACACCCAGTCTCAAGTGCCTTCTCAGTGTGCCCTGGGGATGGGGCCAGCATGGCAGGCCTGGGGATCAAACTCGCAGCCCCTGTGCCTGCTTGCAAGTTCACTTCTCAATAAAGCCTCTAGTGATCAGCTTTAAGACCCACCTGCTCAATTTGCCCCACTCCCAATGGAAATGTATTGATTTGTATTTTAACCAGTGATTGTTATTTACTTTCCCATCTTTAGTCTTTTATCCCAAAACATAGTATATCAAGTACGAATCTTATGTCAAGGAAGAGGGGTACTACAACAGGCTGTCAAATCAGGGCTGAGAAATGTGAAAATAAAGCAGAGAGGCCCAGTTGATGAGCTCTGGGGCGAGATTCATGTTCTGTCATATGAAACACACATTATATTATAAGCCCAGTTATAATTACTATGTTAGAATAAAGCAAGGCTTTCCGGAAAAAGAAGTATGATCCAGGGGCTCTGCTGATCTCCACAAGAACCTGCCCAGTTTCAGAGACTAGAATAAAAGCTATAATTGGGGTTTCTAGTTTCTGCATGAGGACAAAAGGTCAAATTGTCCATAAGCTGACTTGAAAGTCAGGAGATGAGGAATTCTCTTCACACCTCTGCCATGCTAACCACCCATAGGACCCCTGGACACCTAATTTACTGTCTGTAAATTTCAGTTTCTTCATCTAGAGATGGAAAATTGGATTAGATCAATAGTTCTCTAGCAAGGAGAACCTGGCGCTGGACAACACTGACATTCTAGGATTCTACCTTCAACCAACTAAAGCAGAATTTCTGAATGAATTTCTTTTTTGACTTCCATGTCAAAAAAATTCCTTGAGTGATGGCAATGTTCCACCAGGATTGAAAGCTACTGATACAACCTGAAGTTCTCACTTCATCAAACCCCTAGTTATAGTTTTGAAACCTGAGTGTACGTGAGAATCAGATGGTGAACTTGTTAAAGTGCAAATGGCTGACTCTGTTCCCAGAGCATCTGATCTAGGTATGGGAAAGTCCCTGAGAAGTTACATTTCCATGATGTTTCAGATCCAGAGAGCTTGCTGTGACTTGGACAATGTGTAGCATCTGTCCCATTTCTGAAAGTCACTGAACCTGTTTTTGAAAAAGTTATCTCAGGAAATGTGAATGTAACAGTTGGATGGGTGACTGGCACACTAACAGAGTAAGAGACAGTTCAATCCAGCCTACTTCAAATGTGTTCTTAGTTTAACAAAGCCAAACAATGATCTTCACAAGCCTGCCTTCCTAGGGCCAGGAAGGAGCAGGGCAGCATCCACCTCCCAGTGGAAGTTGAACACTCATGAATGATGGAGCTGCTGAGCCCTTCCCTGAATTTCAGAATGAGTAGCTGCTTTGCCTTGTATATTGAATCCCACTGGAGGATTCCCTCACTCACACTGTTATGGTATTTTCCCATAATGGGTGAGATCTGTGATACCTCAGGGGCATGGTAACTTTAGCTCACCCACAATATCAGTTGGGACTCTAAGAATCTAACCAATTCTATAAAAGGATAAAGGACATCTTAATTGGAAAGAAACAGGAGCAGGGTCTTTACCAATGAGGAAAACATGCAAAAAATCAGGATTGAGAGACACTGAGATACAAAAGCAACAATCACAATGTTCTAGGAAAAGTGGAAGGGGTCCCAGATATGTGGACTAAGATGCAGATGCATCAGAGGAACTCAAAATTAATTTTTTTTTTTTTTTTTTTTTTTTGCGGAACCGGGGATTGAACTCAGGCCCTTGCACTTGCCAGAGAAGTGCTTATTCCACTGAGCCATCTCCCCGGCCCCTCTCAAAATTAATTTTTACAGGGTGAAAAGAAAGCAAATCTCAGCCTACACCCACAGGTACAGGTAGCACTATTGGTTTTAGAAGTCCAAATTTGGCTCATGTTTTTTTTAATATTAATTTTATTGAGAAAGAAATAACAATGAGAGCTTCAAAACAGGTTAGTAGGACTGTTACAGTAATGCATTGCATATTGTTATCTTTGTAGTAGTTATTCATAGTACAAGATGCAGACATGATATCTTGTCTAAAAGGCTGAGAAGGATTTTTTTTTTTTTTTTTTTTTTTTTTTTTTGGCTGGCTCAGGCTGCCTTAAAGGTGAGTCTGGGCGTTGAACTGCGGTATCCTGCACCTGACTGCATTTGCACAAGCAGGCACTTAAACAACTGAGCTAACAAGCAGGTCCCTGGTTCATGTTAATAGTTTCTTTTCACAGTTACATTTTTATAAAGTGCAACCAATGCCACTTCTTCCTTGATAAATGAATGTTCAAGATGCCATTGAATTTACAGTCAGTACAATCAACTGCTGACTTTTGTCATCTCAGGAAATTCTCCTTCTTCATATCTAGCTCATAATTTAAATTCCTGTAGGGGAGGTAATTTTTTTTTTATTCCACAACACTAGAACTACTACTAGAAGCTAGCCCTGGTGTAGAAAAGCCCAAGCCAGGCTCCATGTCCGTGGGTCCCTGTCCATCTCATGACCACAGCAGTGCAGATGCCTCTTAAATCTCCTCAGCTGTGAAATGAAGGGCTTAAGACACTGGCTTCCCTTTCTGCCCTTTTCAGCACTGCCACTGTATCTGAGGATTAAAGCAGTATAAAATGCGCAGGGTCACTTCAAGTACTTTCTAAGGAATCATTTTAATACAACAAAGGAGTTCTGGAAGATGAAGATTCTAGAAAGAGAAGGATGACCATCTCACGCTACCTGTTTTCAAACAGCAAATTGGGCAAGCCCACTGTGCTTTAAGTAAAACTCGGGGGTTCATTTTCTTCTCTTTGAAACATCATACACATTTTCCTTCTTTTCCACTCTAAATGTCATGAGCTTCACTGACATAAGTATTACGGTGCAAATGGAGAAACTTGACTCCAGCTGTACAGAGATCTGTGTTTTACAAGATATGTATCTGGTCTCTCTTTGAAACCTGGTCCTGCTACCCCTGATCTGGTGTTTACGTGGCCCCCCGGAGGCCACCTGTTCAGCACGCTGTACTGTCCCGTTAGAGGTATGCTCCTTCAAGCACTGGCCCCAGCCCTACCACAGGAAGTGTGAGGCGAAGCAGATGACTTTCCACAGTTCTAAATGGCTTTCTCAGATGGTCAGAATGGAATGAATGGTACTGATTTAAGGCCTTGGTTGGTTTCGCTACAAAAAGGGGGGGGGTGACTATTAACAAGTTACAGGGATCTCTGCTGTGCAGATGAGAGTCACATGTTAAAATGTTTGTAGTCAGCTTGCTTTGGCTTTTAAAAGACATTCACTGGAAATGAGACTTGGTGGCCTGCTGAGCTTCAGGGGGTGGAAGCCTCCATATGAACTAGTGTTTGAAGGGAGGAATAAGCCTGTCCAAAAGAAGGTCACATTGCTTTTATTCACTTTGAAGAAATGCTCTTATGTACTTGCAATGCTCCGTGTAGATAATAGCTATTTTTCGAAGCCCACATACAGGGAGAAGACTATGGTATTCATTTTGCAGCGAAGCAAACTGAGGTACTAAGAAGGCTTTATTCTCTTATGATCTAATAGCTTGTCAACTGTTAAACAAGATTGGGAGTGCCAGCCAAGTGCTAAATAAGCCTAAGGAGGTAGCCCGCCTTCTCTGCACATTTCAACACTTGGCTGAGTCGAGACCACTCATCAGAGAAAAGCTAGGGCAGAGTGAGGGCCAGGTTGATCTGAGACAGAAAGGACCAGAGCTGCCTCAAAGGGAAGCTTTGCTCCCTTTTCTACAGAACCTTCTCTTCCCTTCATCTCCATCTTCTGTGCATCTGTTAGATTTTGAATGTTCTAGGAGTCT